TTTTTTAATGAAATAGAAAGTGCTGTTAATATGTTAACTCCAACCAAATTCAAGACTTAAAGATTAAGATGATAAGATTAGCAATTCATCACCAAGTCAGCAAGGGATGCTACAATGTAGTAGACAAACATAGATGATGACCAAGAACCTTTGTGAATGCCTGATGTCTATGCATGTGTTGTGACCCATTGTTTTATAGTCCCCAAACTTTCAACAATATGTATGATTAAACTGATTTAAATGAAAAGCTGAGCCATCTTCCTACACTATATAGGGCTACTGTAAACCATTCATTCATCCATCTATTTCATTCATTTCATTTAAGAAATGGTCTTAAGACTTTGATTGTAAGATTTATTAAGCTTTAAAGATAGTTTTTAGTTCAAAGTACTATATCTGTTGGATTCATGTTTGCTAGAATTCAAATGAAAGGGCATTGTTTGGTTTTGTCTTTCTTTAAGTCTCCAATCATAGCCTCTACTTAAACTAGAACTATTGACTAAAATGCTTGATTTCTCCTACCATCTTTCGTTACTTTTTGTTGCTTAACTGCTAATTAAAAATGGCTCATTGTTTACATTTGCATGAGCAGGAAACCACACTGCAGCAACAGCATCTTGCATGCGCTGGTCTGCCATTCTGCTTATGTCAGTGTCTCGGCAAGAATAAACACTAATTCAAATGACATTATGGGGTCATACGGTATGATTTCATCCCACCTGATGAATAAGCACTGCTGTTCTTGGGGAGGTAAATACCCCAAATGTTTTTGTGACGGCTCAGAGTAACACTCAGCACGACAAGAACCAAGTCTCTCTCTCTCTCACAGAGGTTTCACCCCCTCCCCCAAGACAGAGGAATGGCTAAACAACTCACTCCTTCTTACCAGAGCTACAGTAGTACTCCAGCATATGTGTGTCTTTTAGGAGTACAGTAGGAGATAAGGTTAACATAATCTTACACTTATAATCTGCAATTTAACATTAGTAGTCATCAATTATTAAACTGACAACTTTAAACTTTTAAGTGCTGATTATAAAAAAGCTCTAACAGCCCTTTCACAGCAAGCTACTATCAGTATTTATAATGTGTGAAATAATGAGCATTTGTGTGGGCAGAGTGTTTGTATATGTCTCCAAACAAGTGCCAAGCAATCAAAGCCAAGTGAGAAAAACAGAAAGAATGTAAACCCTGTTTCTGCTCTAATCTCTGCTCGTCCTGTATTCTTCTGTATAAAGTATGTAGTCATGGTGTAGCTGACGTGAGGCTGTTATCACACTAACATGCCACAGGTGGTTTTGGCTGTTATGGTGGCAAACTTTGGGAGGTAATATCACAAATGAAATGCACAGTCTTCCTGGGCACTTTGTTCAGAGTGTTTTACAGTTTCGTGTGCCACTAAATGTTGTGGTTAGTGAAGGTGTGATATAGTAATAGTGATTCCAAAACAAGATATTCACTACAGTCTGCTATAAAAAGGTTTAGGTGTGTGGAATTTGCTACAACTGGCCAAACAAAGAAAACATGATGCCACATAAATTGGTGTTTAGTGGAATTTGCTGGCAGAGAACTTTTAACTATTGGGTTTTAGTTTCTCAGTTCAAAGAGCAAGGATTTTATTTCTAGACCATCGGTCAGCACTGCTGCTTGATTTCAGATACTTAGGTAACTGGAAAAACTAACTTTCCTGCTCTTATTTTTCTTTTCATGCTCTCTCAACTATCACTTGAATGTGACTTAGGATATCAAAGAAATCATAACTGATGGATTAGTACCTGTCAGCAAAGCAGGTACGGTGCTAACAATAGTACGTTATCATAAAATAACCTCAAGAATGACCTTGAATCTGATGTTAATTGCGCATGCACTACCGCCCAGGGTGCATTTTCTTTCATCATCTGTCATTTTCTGGTTCCCTGACCTCCAAAGCCCCCACACAATCCCCCACATTCCAGCTCTACCTGAACTTACCTTTATACTGGAAAGCTTCTTTGAGGTTGTGTAGCACATCAGCAAACAACCGCACATCATTCACCAGCTGCATTACATACTCGACATCCACCCCGGGTGCCCCTATCAGGCGGGAGGTAAGGCCCATGTTGCTCAGAGGGTTTGGGTTCTTTGAACTGCGCCCCATATTCAAGGTCTTACTGGATCCAGCTGATAGAGGCTCTGTAGATGTCTCGGAAAGGTTCTGTGGCAGTCTCTGGGTGTGCTTTGTTCCACCGCCTCCACCACCACTACTGCTGCTGCCGCTGCCCTTCCGTAGCATCCCAGCATTCAGTGCAGCTGCGACCCTTTACTGGGGGTACAGTAGGCCAGCTAACCCCTGAACTCAGCACGCTGCCCTGGTCCGTGGACAGCTGAAAGACAGAGAATGACGCGTGGACTTGATGTCTATCTGTAGGTCGGGCTATTATTGTTATTATTTCAATTTACTATATTACAAAAAAACTATACAGTGACCACGGAACTCAACCTATATCATTATTATTATGATTATTATATGAGGGGAAATATATATTTTAAAAAAAACTATTGAGTTTCAGCACGTATAACGTTCATAAAAGTAATGGGTTTTTTTCCTCACACTCTTTCATTTCTTTAAATTACTTTTGCTTTTCCACTTTTAGCTAACACTTTTACTTAATTACGTTTTTTGTAAAGTTTTGTAAAGCAACGTTTAGCTCTTAGCTAGTTAAGGTAACGTTAAGTTCTAAAAAAAAAACAGCGTTATCCTTTAGTAACACACATTTTCACACACAAAAAATATCCCCAAAAAAACAATCCAGTTAAAAGAAGGTTAACACAATGTAAGCTTGCAAGAGACGTTTGAACTCTAGCAACTACTAAAATGGTGCTGGTTCTTTGCATACAGTTTACAGTAAAAAGTGATGCTACTTCCCCGGTAAAAACAGTCGACCTCGGGTCATAAACTGCATTCCTGGCACAGCCAAAATACGCTATCTAATCTCACCTGTTTGGCTCTTTGCTGACATAATGGGAACAATATCCAAATAAAACGTTGCTTATTGAAGACGGAGAAGGCAGCAAAGTATTTCCGTGAGACACGAACAAACTCCAACAAAGGCAAAAAGTTGTCAGCTTTGCCTAACTGTACATCGAGAAGTAGCTGACTATCGGCAACTCTCCAGTCAATCGTAATTTACCAGTCGGCTCGTCACATGACAATCATGACGCGTTTTGATTGGCTAGATTCCTCCGAAGGATAGCTCTGTGATGCCTTCATGTGCTAGCGGACGTTTTATTTTGATACCAAATACAGAAGCGCAAACGGAGGTGGCTTAATTATGTGAGGTATTGTAATGTATCTTTATCGGATACAGGGTACATTTGAGGACACAATAGCCAATCTTTGCCATTCTACTTTGCCTAAAATATGTAATAGCTATCAGGCATATGATCTCATTATAGGAATGAGCTGAAGCCAGATTATACGGATGACTGAATGCGGTAGTGACTTTCTGGCTTTTCCTAGAATCAGATACATGGCAACGTTTGGTGACGTTTAACGCTTTGTATTTACTGTTGTATTATAAAATATTGCAAGAGTTACAAATCATGTGAGCGTCCATTTATTAATTTCTTCCACAATTGCCGCAAAAATAACTAAAACGTACGCCAATGATTTAACGGAAAGCGATACCAGCATTCACTGTGAACTCAAGCCAGACTGTACTCTTGGGCTTGAAATGTTGCAAATGAACCAGTTCAAACTAGTAGCACCATTGCTGCCATCTAGTGGATTTATGCAGCCACAAAAAACCCTGAACGGTGTTACAGTCTTTAGGCATAGTGCACGTATTTTTTTCCCCTTCTACCATTAAATATTCACAGCACTTTTATTTGATTTTAATCCTTTTGTTGTCTCAAGTGACAGACAGTATTGAAAGCAGTGAGAGACATGCAAAGAACTCCATTTACCCAGTAATGGTTAATCAAGATTTGTCTTTATTTTCATATACAAAAGGATGACTATTCTCATCTAGTTTATATTTCTAAGCATTTTGTTTCACAGATAAAATTACCATTCGTACTGTTTTAGTGAAATCATCAACCAACATACACCCCACACACACAGTTCACATAAACAGGGAAAGTCACACAATTCAGTCAAACATCCATCCACACGACAAGAAATGAACAATGTTGACTGTGAACTTTAAAAAACAAAAAAAAGATTTCTTTCACAGGATTCACACATGAAAAGGAAGAAAACCTTTACATTTGTCAAATATATATATGTATATATAGATATATACACACGCAATAATTGATACATTTTTTTCTTTTCTTTTTGTTGAAGATGAGGCTGACTCCATGTTAGTGTTACTAATGAGGTACTGCATGAGGTAACTGGTTTTTCTGTTCAGAAGAGCTGGGTGTAAGACAGCATTTGGAGGTAACAACAGACCGCAGCAGATATCCCCTACGCGACTGCTGTTTTATTTCTGGCACAATTCGTGAAAGCACCTGGGCCATGCTCAGTTCACATTAAAAATGCAACCGTCAGCATTTCCCCCCCAACTTATCAGGAGACTTTAGCGCATCCACGCCGTCAGGACATGGTCCAGGTGTGATGAGATGTAGTTTATTGATCTGCAGAAGAAACCTGCTAAGTCACAGCTGAGTTTAAATGTCTTAAACTATGATAGACTTAGACTATTGCTGTATAATAAATATTGCTGGACCCTCGGACCATGCACATGCCACCGCTCACATGACTCCCAATGGTGCTGCATCATCAGTCGATCAATGTAGGTACAAACACGATGATCTCCAAACACTTTAAAAATGTTAAGTAATTGTTCCATTTCGACTGATTTTTTTTTTTCTAGTGTCCTTTACCAAAACTGCACATCGGCAAGCATTACAGATCACTGTTAAAAATCACCATCTTTCCACAGCACTAATCAACGTACAACAGATGAGCCTGTGTGTTGTCCAATGTGGCTAAACTAGCACTAAACAAGTCTGAACATCACACCAGCAGGTTAATATTGAGGCAATACTGTTCAAAACAGGAAGCCAAATCACAAAAGGAATCTGTATGTTTTTTTCTGTTTGTTCTTGATAATATACACACTGAGCTCTATAATGCAAAGTGCAACCCACACAGCTTCTGATCCAGAGGGACCGATACCATTATTCACTGAAATTCACTGAAATCAGTAACCGCCACTCTCTACCAAAAGAAAAACAATTATTATGCAGGGCTAGTTATAAAAATTATTTAAATATATAGAGGTGGAACTGAGAAATCTCTTCCATTTCTGCAAAATGAGAACATTAATGCCCTGATTTTGTGTTATTAAAAAAAAAAAAGAGAGAGAGAGCAGAAAAAAAAGAAAAAAAAAAAAACCACCCCAAAAATCACTGAGCAGTGTTCGCCATCTGTGTGTACACCCATATTTACATAAATCTGCCCATCTTCTTTTAGATTTGTAGAGAATTAACACCATGAAAACTGGTCAGACTCCTAAAAAAAAACAAAAAAAATCAAATCAAATCTCAATCTCAACAGACAAGAGGCCCAACCAGCAATAAAATATCTCAACTACCAAAAACACAATAAAATACATAACACAATTTGATATACATGTAGAAAAAGCCTGAGGTACTTTTCAGAATATCTGAGGTCAGTCTGTAGGAGTAAGCACCTGACGGCTTACCCAGTCAAAATAAAAAACGCACAAAAACAGAATATTAGCCTCACATTATATCGTGGATAGTAATCACATGTTAGCGTTATATTAACAAAGAATGCATGTACATCTACAAATCCTTGAGTATCCTGGAATAGTCACAGCAGCATAACGGACATTCAATGTATGGTATTCATGTTATGGTACAACTATGGCATTGCATTTGAGACAAAAGGCAACCATTTGAGCTCTCCTTGCATGACATACAGTGACTGAGGTATCTGGGAACTGGTGTCCGACTGAGTCTATTGAACACGCACTCATGGAAATTAAAAAACAGACATGTTGCTTACTCAAGTATGGCCCATGACTCTCACTTTAAAAACTTTCTATCCATCTCACATCATTTCAATTTCAGATTCACTCACACACTCACTCACACGGTTCAAATTAAGAATGTGTAACATTGCAACTTCAGACAGCATCCAGCAATGCCCCTGGCACTGGCAAAGGAGTAACTCTGAATTCAAACAAATAAAAAAACTAAAATAAAAATCCAGGAATATGTCCATGATAGCTAGCTCGATAGCTCGGCTCTTAACTTAGAGAAAATGTTCCAAAGAAGCCTACTGAATACCTGAGAGGTAGTTCCCCGAGGACAAGACACTTGCCCCAAATCCAAGTCCAAAATGTCCAATACAGCTCCCATTTAGCTCCCTCCCTTACAATAAAACAGCTGTGCTCCGGTTTTTGTTTTTTGAAACTTTTTTTTCCGTTTTTCATTTTGAGGAAATCACAGGTTTAAAATAAGGGAGCGCACTCAGAGTTTCAAAATCGAGAAGCTTCAACCCCTGAGGAAGATGTATTTATGTTGTCTAACAGTCTCAAAACGGTTCCTCCGAGGTGTGCAGCACGTCGTCTGAGGTTTGGAGCAAAAAGGTTCATTTCATTTGGCCGCAGACGATCAGGACCACGACGCGAAATACGACGATGACAACTCATGAGGTAATTTAAAAAAGAAAAAGAAAAAAAAAAAGAATATAGACTAACACAAAAGAAACACATGAGGTAATGACAACATTTAAGATTTGACACATGGGTGTTATCAGATGTGCCCATCGCATAGCTTATTACTACTTCAACTACAGCAGATGGATGTGTTAGTAGGATCCGACTTGAAACACACACACGCACACACACTTTAAAAACAGGAAAAAAATACCAGTATTGGGATAAAATAGCAGCTGCATTTAAGTTGCTAGATGTATTTTTTTGTTGTTGTTTTTCTTTTGTTTTTTTATATATATGTTTTTTTAAATATTCACGAAAATCTGCTGAGTTTGGGTTTGAAAAATAAAAAGTCAGGAGCTCAGGTGAAAGATGGTGTCACCCGTTCAGGTGCTGGACTCTTTGGGAGGTAGGTCCTCGTTGATGAGAGACGTGACTAAAGAGATGGGGCTGTCTGAGGTAGTGCTGCCTATTGTCCTGGAGATCTGGCCGATGCGCTCCTCGACACAACCTGCAGACAGTCGAGCCTCTGCGTCGTGGTCCCAGCATTCCTCGATGGTCTCACACATGTGGCTCAGCCCCTGTACGCACAAAAGACAAAATATATAAGGATTTTCTTTTTGGCAGTTGCATTTGCTTATTTTTACTAAAATTGTCCATCTTCGGTTCATAATTTTAATATAAAACTCAAATCAGAGAAATCTCTAACTCTATTAATGACCCCAAATTTAAGCCATTCATTTTAAAGTTACAAAGCCACAACAAATTCAAAGAACTTTAACCTCAAATCATTGAGCTCTTCACTGGGGGGGAAAAAAAAAAAAAAAAAAAAAAGGATGCACCACTTCCTGGTATTGCTGCTGAAACTGCAGTAGCTATTATTCTGTTACTCACAGGATGCTTGAGCCAGGAGTCCTTGATGACTGGACGCATCTTCTTGTGCACCACCACATCCTGCAGATCCTCCAGGGAGGGATGCTGGCCTATTTCATCCTCAAATGGCAGCATGTACTCGCCAACTGTTCCTACAAAGGGACAGCAAAGCAACAGAGTGGAAAGTGTTACGCAGAAGAAGAAAATACTGCAGTACTTTGACTTCTGAAAATTCAAAACTATTTAAAGAGTAACTTTATCCACATTGCAGCTTTGCCCTTCATTTGCTTTGCAGACAAAACAAAAACGAATCTTTACTGGCCCGGGGTCAAGCAATGTGACCTTTTCACCTATGAATGTGAAGACACATTCCTTCACCATGTTGACTCACCATCTGTGTCGGAGCAACGGGACACCAGCTCCCACAGCACCAAGCCCATAGCGTACATGTCTATCCTCAGGAAGGAGTCTCGCTGAAAGTTGATGGCTCCCTCCAGCACCTCTGGGGCCATGTAACGCCTCGTACCCACCTAGACGGATAATGAATTTGGGGGTTTTATCCACTTAAGAATAAGCAGGGAAACTCCTGCAAACAATTGCATCACAGAGCCAATGCAGACAACCCGCCCCCCCCCAAAAAAAAAAAAAAAAAAAAAAACAGCAGTGAAGTTATTACATACCTGTCCATGAGTATCCCCAGGAGGTTTTCCTGGCTCGAATCTTACAGCAAGCCCAAAGTCACCAATGACTGCAGCTAAGTCATCTCGTAGTAACACATTCTTGCTCTTGAAGTCCCTGGGGAATTAATTTCACATTACAATGTCTTAATTAGAGGGAGGTTTAGTCACAGAAGTCAGACAAAGACTGTCATAGTAAAGATATTAAATGAGGTACAACCAGGAGAGGGCAGCAGTAAATTAAGATTTCTGTTCAAATCAAAAGCAACAGTTTAATCTTTAGTGAACTAACGAGAGTTGAGGAAATCCAGGCTGATTTTCCTACCTGTGTGCAATTGTAGGTTTAGGCCCCTCTCCCTTGTAACTGGGAATGTCCTCGTGAAGGTAAGCCAAACCGCGGGACATGGTCTCTGCTATGTGACACAACTCTGTCCAGGTCACAGTGTTGCCCTTCAGGTGATCTGTCAAGGATCCCTGCTCACACACAAACACACAAAAGGATTATGAAACAAGGATTAGCAACTGCGCATGAATTCAGGCGTAGGCATAACCGAAAAGCTGTTGCTGAATCCACCAAGGAGCAGGAATTGCTTTCATTTCCATTTGACAGCAAATACTGTAGTCTGGGAGAATATAACAGAAACCCAATTTCATACTTCAAAACATCAAAAATAGCAATTTAAACGTTTACTATAAAAAAAAAAAACAATGACACATGCACTGATGCCTCCAACTAACAACGTTTGTATCAATACCAAGAATAAAAAGGTGCTGCAACAATCAGTCCCACTTGTGTTTATAATTATTGTGTCCTCATATATCAGCATCACTACAAACGCACAACATCTTGCAATATCTGACATCAAATACAAACGTTTTAAGCTACACGCTTAAAAAAAACAAACCGCCTTAAGTTTAAGCAGCACTGCCTGATCTGTTGCTTTTGGATTTACTGGAACAGCAGATCAGACATATGTGGTGAAATCTTCTTTTTAATAAAGGCTGCGATTCTCTTTTCTTGTTTTGAGGTAAACAGAGAGGCTCGCTCAATATTGGAAAACCTCCAGCTGTACTAGTCGACATAAAAGCCGTATACCTCACCATAAACTTGCTTTGGGGTTGATGTATTGGTCTGTGTGCATTCTGTATGTAGACAGAATATGTTCTCACCCTTTCATGAAACTCTGTGATAAGCCACAGCTCCGTCTCCATGTTGGCTCCGTGCTTCTCTGCAGCGATGTAACGCAAGATATTTTCATGTCTCATCCCCGGAGTCAAGAATATGTCGCGCTCATTTTGCCATGACTGCTTATCCTGTAAACACAAACCAGAGTTATTTTTAGAGCTTGAAGATGCAAAGAAGCATTCTGGAGGTCAAAAACAAAAAGGCGCACATGGAATCTAGAACAAGAAAAAAGGCGTCTCTTCATACACTGAAGCATATGACGTATATTTTTAAGCCAGAATTAATGACATACCTGAACTGGGAAGATCTTAACAGCAACATATTCATTCATTAACTGGGCCTTCCAAACGCAACCAAAGCGCCCCCTAGCTTTGATTTCTAGAAGCTGCAATGGTTTCAGACCCACCAAGGGAGATGGAGGAGCTGGCCCTGGATCCTGAACAGAAAAAATAAAAATAAATAAAAACATCTTATTCTACTGCTGAATCCACCTCAAAACATTAACAATTTCAGTGCTACAAAACACAAAAGTGACAAGCACTCCATCCTTGTCAGGACTACGTTACTGATGGCCTTACAAGTCTCACACTAAGATGAGCATAGCCCGTCTCACCTCGCTCAGGTCTACATGGCCGTAGGGAGGTTTGCGGTGGCGGTACATCCACAAGGCCAGAACGAGGGCCAGGGACAGCACACAGAGAGGCAGCAGGGAGTACACCAGCACATTGAGCAGGGAAGGTACTCGGGGTGGAGGCTGGATTTTCACTGTCAAGGAGGTACAGAATAATTACGGCATGTCAGCTGTATGACACATAAGATATGTTAAGCATCACATTTGTCCCTCACAGGCTGTGAGAGCTGATTTTAAATTGGCAGGGTAAGAGACTGCCTGACATCAATTCTAAGCTGAGAAATTAGTTAACATAGATTAATTTTTGTTTTATCCCACTCGATTAAAAGGCCAGAACCAGAAGAATCACACATATACATTCCCAATAATCAAAATCGGTCAGATCCAATAGCCCCTTCTTAAATATGGCGTCATTTATTAATATTAATGTGGGAAAGAAGAGATCTCTACTATCTATACGATGCATTTGCCACTCACCTCGGTTGCCACTGCCAATCAAGTCGGGAAGGTGGGTGAATCGTTCATTGCAGTAGTTGCCCTCGCAGCAGCAGAAGAAGACCTGAGGGTTTTCCTCCATGGAGACGCACTCTTGCCTAAAAACAACAGATGGCGCATCAACGTTACTGTTCTAGACCCAACGGACAAAAACATTTTCTGATATTATTATTGGCTGTTAAAGTTTAGTAGTGTCAGTCTATGGTTTTCATGTATTTGCTGTATATTAACTCTAAGACAACGCAATCTAATAATTGGATCGGATATTGCCACAGATTACCTAATGCACATCTTTGCGTGGTTACTTGTACTGGTATCAACAAATATAAGGCAGCAAAGACTACATTTATAGAGTTTTTGTGTTTAGGGTGGGAAAAAAAATAATTTTTACAGCCAATTTTTCATCTTTTCACTCCTCTTAAGACAGCAGATGTTCCCAATTCCGAGGAATCACAGGATTTCTCACACTTTATGCATCTGCATATTCCTCCCATTAACCATTGACACTAAATGTTCATGTACTCAAAATTCCCCACCTGCTCCATTGCTCTTCAATTACTACAATCATTTAATGGTGCTTTTCACACAGATTAAATTGACCAGCAAATGTATTTTTTTTTTCCCAGGTTCTATTGTAATTACCCTCAGCAGCTCACGGGTAAATGAAGATTTCAGCATCTTGTACCTAAACCTACAATTTCTACATATGCCACTCTAGCTTTTAGTCACATGTTGGTAATGCTCAAATTTCACACTAACACTCAGTGAAATAGTCACTTAATTGCCATTTGGCAACTCACAACATCTGCACATTAATCTAGCAAATTATGCCAAAGTATTAGAAAGGATAATAAAAGCCACATAAAATACACATTTTAAAGCACACACACACACAGTTGTGTCATGTAGGATCAATTATCGCAGCCCTCTTTTCTCCAGCTCCCCTTTCCATGCCACAAGAGGACCCCCGCTTGTTGGAAAGGCTGTGGATAGCATGTTAATAACTGGAAAGTTTGATTGCGGCACTCAATTCAATGCCAACTTCTGATAAAGACTAGTTTTAAATTCTCCTCCTCACGTACAAAATCCTGAGTGGCCTCGTGTCACAGTATGTATCTGCCATCATCAGGCTGAACTGTGTGCTACACTGCTCACAGAGGCTATCTGGCTTTTGCACAAATATGTGTAGGCTGCAGAGAACCTTCCCCGACACAAACACGCATACTTGGAAATGATTTGCTAAAAATTACCTGGCATCTGCTTCTTAATATCTATATTTGCCACTGCTCTCACATTTATATCATTCTACAGTGAATGTGTTTTAGGTTTTGCCAACTAATCAAACAAAACAAGCAGTCTGAAGATGAATATCTGTGAGCTTGAATTGGATAAGTGGCTAATATAAATATCTGAATATATCTTATGCTTCATGCACAAGAAAATTGTCTCTGTATACCTGTATGGTTGATTGCCTGACAGCACCTTAAGCAATATGAAACTGGACCACAGTTAATCTCCTTTTCTTGTTATACGTGGTTGCTTTTATGGCATGCAACTGATATTTTCCCATGGTTTCTCTCTGTTATTCACCTTTTAAAACATCACAAGGCTAAATGAAAAAGATCCTTTAAACATTCAAAGAGCATGAGATGGTTGCCTGCTCTGCGAAATCACGAGGCCAAAGGGTGATGTGAAAAAAAGAGATTACTCTTCCATTTATTAAACTAAAGGCGGGCAAAAACATTTTTTAAATTTGTCTTTAACAGTGCAAAGTGAGAGAGGGGCACAAAAAGATGCACTGAACTATATGCAGGTACTGAGGGAACCTTTTCTGTTGTCTTCAATGTCAGTCAGTCGTCAGTCTGGTTGCGAGCCAGGTACATGAAATATAAATGCAAATTCGCAGCAGCGAATGACCTCGCACGGTTATCCGACCTGTCATAGCAGTTGAAGTCATCCAGCCAGCAGCCTTTCTTCACCAGTTTGATAGTCCCTGAGGAGTTGAGCCAGGAGGCATAACAGTGCAGACGCTTGTCCTTTTCCCCCTCGCAACGCTCGAAGCCGCTCTGGTTGGTCCTCTCCGAACGCCAGTTATCGTTGTAGTACACACACTCCCGGGTCTCCGCTTCGCCAAGACTGTACCCTGAGAATGACAGAAAAGTCTCAGTCAGCTCACATTGTAATGAATCGAAACTCAATGGCGGAAGCACAGACATATGGCGCAGGCTCCGCTCCGTGCCACGACGAAACATCGCCGAGCAGAGCCTCCATCGTCACTCTGGCACGTATCCAAGCTTGGGAGCTCTCTGTAGTAAAAAGGGAGTTCCTGTGGGCTAAGAAACTTGTGCTGAATAGAAGTTCGGCATAATCACATTAACTAAGATCTTTTCAGAGAGTAAAAAGTTAAAAAAGAAGAAGGGGAAAATTACAGAATTCAATTAGCTATAAAACAATGATATGCCCTGCTGTGGTAAAGAATCGTAGCATGAATACGTCGGCATTCTTTTTCTATAGATAAAGACTACAGACGCATCTGGAAAGACCGATAAGACATTCTTTGAGAGCTTTGACGGGAAACACTAAAGAAAATAAACGACAGTATTTTTTATTTTTTTTTTTTTACAATAGCTGTCAGTCTTCCAGTGGTGAATGATTTAATGAAAAGGCATTATTCTCATTTCTCTTCTTGGATTTCATGTTAGACGTGTGCAGTCAGTTTGTTCCATGATTATTTGGATGGTGACTTAATTTCAGTAATTATGTCTCTTTACCACACCACCATGGATTTGAAAGGAAGCAATCTAGGTGTGACTCAAGTGTGAACTCTAAGATTTTCAGGGGGTTTAATAAAATATTGAACTAACCTTTTATGAATTAAGTTTTGTTTTTGTTTCTAAACACATGGTCTTCAAGTAGCTGAACAAACAATTATAACATGCATGGATTCGTTTTTACCAGTACTTGCACAAAACTTCTTTGTACTCATTGAAGTCTGGAATCCATGGACAACACCAAAAACTGAGCAGGTTTCCTTCCTTAGATGCTCCATTTGGACTTGACTACAGCCACCTTCAGTAGTAGCTTGTTTGTGGGTATTTTGGCCTTCAGTTTTTATCTTTATTGAAAAGCACACCCAGTTGGGCTGAGATCATGTGAATGAAATCAACATGAATCTTAAGGAGCTTGCTTCTGCAACACATTTCAGCTCACTGTTATTCTGCATTGTGAAACACTGCACAATGACTTCCACAGCACAAAGTCACTTGACTGAATTTCAGTGTAAAATGTATTTCTATAGTATATCTATGAACAAACACCAACTCGATTTCACTGGCAGCATGATACGCTCACTATCTCTACCATATTTGACAGATGCCTCCTTCCTCTCCATCCTCTTCTCTTACCATCATTCCAGTAAACGTTTGGCTTTATCCAGAGTTTTGTTCCAAAACTTTCCAGGCTTTTGTTTAAAGCTGGGAAATTTGTCATGGAATTCTCAATGACCTTTCTGTTCTTGAGTCCTACACCCAGCTCAATGTCTGGATGTTGGGAAAAAAAAATCTTCAAAAACAAAAGAAGTCAAACACTTTAACTGTGACTCATAGTCTTGCATGACTTTTTCCTGTTGCCTAGCGCATCCTTTCTTTCTCGACCCAATTCTCATTCCCACCCACAATTCTTCAAGTTACACCCTGTTGTATTTATTTATTTATTGTCAGCCAAATAATGGGCTCCTTTATTTGCATTAACACCTCTTCGGTTTGTGAATTGAGAGTTCCTCTGAACAGCTATACTATAACTATGGATATCAAAAGTCTTATCAGTTAATTATTGAGTTACTTCTGAGGCTGTGAAAATGTAAAAAAAAAAAAAAAATCAAATAAAAATTGTAAATGCAATCACTCTTTTTAAACCCCTTGATTTAAAGCTGAAATTCTAACTCCAGCTGTATCAGATTGCTTCGTTTCAAACAAACTGTGGTGCTGCAAAGAGGCAAATTTTATAAAATATGTGTCCCGTGTCCTAATAATTGTTTACCTAACTGGGTTTGTGGCAAACACAAAAGCAGACAACATGGAGTACATGTTAGTCACAATTTAGCTTGGACATCCAGGCCTAATCTTTGTTCAGCGGGGGGGAGGGTTTTTAAAAAAAAAGGTGCCTGTCTCTTTAAATCCCTGCCTATAGGAGCCTGCCCATCCCCCAATATTACCCCCACTAACCCATTACACACACACTCAGAGGCACGCATGCATACATATTGCTGTTCAGCAGCACACAACTGACTTCATTATAAGAAACAGGCAATGCACACAGTGGCCAGAGATCGCAGTCATTATATAAAAAAAAGGTTGGAAGTAAGCAAGGTAGCAAAGGATAAAACACACAGCAGCGATGCTCAACGCTTCATTGAACCGAGATGGCATTTCTGATATCTGCGGTCACATGATCCGCGAGGACTTTTACTACAATATCATTCCCCAACCCCCTCCCTCTGTCACTTACTGAGCTTTTACACCACAACAACATGAATTCCGCAGAAGCAGCTTACTGTACACTGCCAGTCCTAATCTATTAACCATAAAGACATTAGCCACAGTGCTGCTGACACACAAGAGAAAGCTGTGCCTCAATTAATTTTTTATTACAGTTAGAGGAAAAAAAAAAAACCTAAAGTGGAAATTATTGTTTCAAAGCCCTCTGTTCAGTCACAGACGCGATACCTAGCTTAGGAAGAGGGGTTGCATGCGTTTTGGGACATTAAAAATTATCCATATGGGCTTAAAAACGCTGGCAAAAAAAACGACAAACAAAAGAAAAAAACAACCCTCTTGCTCAATTTCACGTGGTACCAAGTCAAACCCTGTGGAGACTTCAGCAGTGGGAGACAATAACCTCGATTCACGACAAAGACCTGACTTGTGACAACAGCTGCCGTCTCTCCAAATCAAACGCCAACGATTCATACAAATCCTTACAGAGGGAAGAGTGTTTGGAGAAGGTTCTTGTTGAGCCCGTAACCACAAACAAGAGTGCAGACCTGAGAGGTAGCCTATAAGGTTTCAGGATGTTGATGCAGCTGCTGCCTTCTATTCCTGCCACAGCGAAGGAGCAACAGTTTTAAATTTGGATACATGTACAATAAAAAAAATTAAAAAAAGATATATTCTCCTGTGAAAATACTACGTGTGATTCGAGCGTTGAAATGAGGGAAAATCCCGAGTGTGACATATTTGTCTTTAAGGGGGCTAAACGGAGAAAAGGCGATTATGGTTGTAGAGGGGAAATAAAAATCCCAGCTGAACGAGCTGCCAACAAAGTTTAAACAACTCGCAACCGCGGATTCGTTCGCGGGTCGAAATTTCAAACGCGAACAAATTACTCACACTCCCACGAAAAAAATGAAAATAATCGCGGCGAACTGTTCGACTAAACTGTTGCAAATTCGGGACCAACAACGGCGGCTTACCTGCGCATAAAGTTCCCAGAAGAAGTGAACAAGTCAGCCATGAAAAAGACATGTTCCGCTTTAAATACAGGGCAGAGATTTCCCCCGCTTTCCGTCGCGAACATTAAAACTCAGGTGGCCCAAAACATCAGTCCAGGATCAAAACGACCACAGGCCTCCGGTCCCTCCAGCAGCCTAAACCACCACGGCCACAGCGCGTGTCAATAGCCGCGACGCTGCAACAATGTTGCAAGAAAAGATAGGGGCGATTAATTGACTGCCAGGTTGTTATTCCATTAATAGGTGCTTCATTTCGCGTCGGAAGTGGATCCAAAACCCGAATAGGAAGCCGATAAAACACCCGAGATGGAAGCTCGTTGTTTTTTAAGGTTATTCACTTGAATAGTAGCACCGCTGCGTCGGGAGGTCGGTCGGGGTTTACATGCATGTTACTGATCTGTGTCCAAAATGGCTTCTAAATGGGGAATGGGCTGCAAACAGGGAAACCCGGATGTATAAACACAAAGAGGGGAATTCAGGCAGCCAGCGAGTGACCTTAACGCGACACCGCAGATACACGCCTGAAATGACTTTATTCTTGCTTCCTGTCGATAACTATCACATTTTTTTGTTTTTTACACATATCACGTCAGAAATACAAATGCCGGAGAGAGGTGTGTTTTCCACGTCGGTGTGTGTCCCGAATCGAAGCCGATACAAGACTTGCACTTTTGGGGTTTGGTTTAAACCCACCACTTCCTTGGTTCTTAACAGACAGCCTCGCATTTAATAAACCATAATCATAATTATTCCGAGGCTAATTGATTAATGCAATCGAAGGTATAGGTGAGAATGCAATGTGTGTGGACTTTTTCAAAGAATTTTTTTAAATTGAGGATTAATAGCTAATGCTTATGAGTGTGAAAGGAAGCTTGTACAAATGCAGAATTATCTCTTTTTGCTGTATGCATAATACACCACGTCGTCCTCTGTGTCAGTGTGACAAATAGCTTTTGCAGCCCCACAAGTACTTAAATAAATTCTGTCTGTATGATCTTTTATGCATAAGTTGCGGTGCTAAAAATAGCTGACCTAATTTGGAATAGCACGTTACCATAAATGCTGTTTAAAATGCATTCGTTCTAATTACTCATTTTACCATCACACAGTATTAAATATAAGATATATAATATGTAGAGCTACCAAGACAGAGCCAACCATGCTACATAATGTACTGGCAACCTTTATTTTTGTTCTTTTTTTAAAGTGTGTGACAATAATCTCCCAGAGTGTTCAAATCTGATATTCTACTAATAGCTCATGTTAAAATGTTATTGTTTAACACCATCAATTTGTGATCTTACATGTTTTTGTGTCAAAGGATTAGTAAGTTCATTAACTTTCACAGTCAACAGACAGTTGAGAAGTATTTCCCTCATAAGGATTAAAGTTCATATCTTATCCAGCTTCTCTTTTATGAACTCCCTACTTAAAAGGAAACGTGTGCCTCCATTAGAGCAAGTAGTCAAGGTGTATTAATAGTAAGGTGCATAGATTCCTTCCAAGCATTTAAGGCTCACTTTTTAAAAATTGAGGTCTTTTGTGCAAAATAAATAGTCCCGTCATCACAGAAAATCAACAGTGACATTGTTAAAATGCCATTAAGCCTTCCACGGCGGCCCCTCCACTCTTTCTCCTACTTTGACATTCTGACTAATGGCATGTTGGTGACACTCAGCCAATTTATGCAGCAAATGGCTTAGGAATAGGGTTAGCCATAGGTAATCGCCCTTAAACTAGTCCAATTCAGTGTAACTCAAGACAAAGCATTTCCTCATTAAGCTATCCTGTATTGACCCTGTAACTCAATAGAGGCCAAGAGCGAAACCTTGTAAAGATAAATGTTCTGTTGTCATGACAGTTGGAAGAGAAAGCACATGAGTGCTCATTAAAGGTCCAGCGGCCACAGCCCTGGTGTGACATTTGTAGAAGAATGAGAACATGTGGGAAATGATGCAGTGGCACATTAAAAGCATGAAACTATGAGCTCATAGTGTTACAAAGGACTGTTAATTACATATCCGTTTAAGTATACCAGCCTTTCACCTATTGTGTTGCATTGTAGATGGCATAAAATACATTGGATATGTGATGTGCATTGTCAGATTAAATTACAAGGTTAAAAAAAAAGAGGTTTATACTGGAAATTGTGTTTCCTGTTCTGTTTTTGGGTTTTTTTTATTGTAGCATACACATCATACAAAGCATGTAGCAGATTAATTTCAGGTGTTAATTATGCCATGATCCTTAGATCACCCTGAGCGGAGTGTCAATACTCCGCAGTAAAATAGATAGATGACACTAGGTGGTAGCAGAGCTCCCAAGTGCAGGCACAGCTGCTTTGCCGCCCTGTGCAGAATCTCTCTTTCGCTTTTGATTTATACACTGTATATGTAGGAAGGACACACAGTTTCTCCTGTTCAGTGCTGACTCTGCAGACCATTCACCTGTGTAGGTGCCAAAAGACTGGACATTTTCATTAGAGCGTTTTCTATAGTTGATTATCAGGCAGTAAGTTCTTTTTTTCAAACTATTACAACAATTTAATTGCCCCCCTGGATAAATAAAATTCGCATACATCTATTAATCTGCGTGGGAGTGGTATTCAGGATATCTTAACTTTGCAATGGATCCATTAGTTTACGGGAAAGCACAGCACTTAAAGCAATTACCTGAATCATAGCCTGTAGCCATGTCTACAATGAAATGCGATGGTTAAGTTGGGAGCTGCACAAAAAGTGTGCATTAATAGAAGAAAACAATAAATGGAAGTAAGATTGAAGATGCTGTAGGATCACTACTTTATTTGAACCTTTAAATAATTCAGTACAAAAATAAAACAACAAGCAGTGCCAAACATTTTCTTCATCTTTATTATCGCCCCACAGAGCCCCGTGTGAGATGACTTGACAGTGTAGTCGATCTATTCCCTGCAGTCACACTGACAGCGATAGTGAGATGGTTTTAAAAGTAGTTTGCAACCCTGCGAATAGACTGGATGTTGGGGTTCTCAGCCTGCCACTCCATGTGGGTGCAGTAGTTTCCTCTTTCCACGACGTACATGCGACCACGGTAGTTAGGCTCCTCGTACAACACCCACCTGTTCAGTAGCAGTGAATAAATAAGAGCTAATGGATCAAACATGTAATAAATTAGTGCAAAGAAAATCAGCTTACTAAACAGTTTCGGGCAGTATTCTAATTTGGTTGATGTTTAAAGATTAAAAACATAAAAACACATTTTCTTCTTTGCTTTTGCTGAGATCAGTCGGTGTAGATAGTTTTGCTTGGATTTGCTGAGGCTTCAAGAAGTCTGGTTTTGAGATAGACTCTTTCTAATGTAATGCTTGTTATGTAATGGTGCCTCCAATAAAACACCAACACTGAAGAGACAACTGGCAGCGTATAAGTAGTGGGAGAAACAGACACCCTAATTGGTCTCTATCAAAGGCCCTTTCGCTGACTTTGAACCTCAGAACATTGTTGTTAAAGCCCCAGAATGCCCCACCTCTGAGACTTCAGAATTTTGTTCATGCCACTAACAATATTGACCAATTACATGTGAAGATCCAGTCAAACATTGCTCTTTTTCTGATCCACAGTAAATTCATTTTCTCTCTTTTTCTCTCTTTTTAAAGACTGGCATTCAAGATAACTATGTTCACATTTTCTTAAACTTATTTCCCACCTTTACTTTAATATTAATTTTATTTTTTCTGTATTTAGTCAGTGTTTTTTAACAAGTCTGCTTTCCGCCAAAGAAGTAGTCCCTATTAAAATGATGAAAACATCTGTTTTGCTGTTACACTGTTAAAGACTGTAAATTTTTTATGTGTGAGGTTTAATACGGAGCAACACATTGGTCATTGGTCTGGCACCTAGAAAAGTTTGCCCTGCACATAAGCCAGACTGGACTTTCTCTGAATGCTAGCCTTTGTTTTTCTTTTAACCCAACCTGTCTGCTTTCTACGCCTACAGAAAATTAATACAGATCATGTGTATTTGTGCTTACATCTGTTTATGGAACTATCTGCCTTGTTAAGTACAACAAAAGACAAGTGGGAAAATATATATTGTGTGAAATGACCTTGTAATAGGTCAGTCGAAAGTGGCCAGTTTCACAAAGGTTTAGTTCATTACTTAAGGATAATGAAGGAAATGTTTTAGGGCATGTCTTATGCGCTCTTCTCTCAGTTAAATCAAAAACTATAAATGGCCTCAAAGATACGTACGCCCCATCTCCATAAACTTTGATAGAGTTGATGCAGTTCTTGGTCAGGCCTCGTGCTTGGAGAAATGGGCAGTCGTCACACAGCTCCACGCACTGGCCGGAGAAGTTGTCCCCCTCGAACAGCTCCATCCTGTAGTGCTCTCCATGCTGGGAGGATAATGACATGCGTGATCGCTGAGTCAACAGTGTTTGACTTCAGCTCTCTGCAAACGACCAAGGCTTTCTCCTTTATGTGACAGAGGCTGTATTGTGGGCACAAAACACTTGCACCTATAGAAATCTAAAGGTTAGAACATGTGGAGGATGAAATATAAGTGCAGTTCTTTAAGCTGATTACATAAGTATCAGATGTAAAAACTTGAAAGTTTCTTTGATGATGTCTGTTATGCAAAAGTAGATCCAACATTATTACTTTGAACAAACAGAGGCGCACAAATGAGGCCACACATGTGCCCATCTGCCTGTGTTTTTAACCAACCAAATATTTGTCTGTCCCTGGGGTCTCTATCTTTTGCGCACACACACACACACACACACACACACACACACACACACACACACACACACACACACTCTTACCATCCTGATTGGTTTGCAAGATCCCATGTGATCATTGTGGGCATTCCAGCGCTGGAATTCAGGGTACTCTCCATGCTCCAGAATATACTGTTGGCCCTTGAAGTCTGGATGGTCGAAGCAGACGAAGGCCCCGCTCTCCACACGGACAGAGTTCACTCTGTTCATGAACCCTCGGTCCTGGAAGTTGTCACAGTCGCTGCAGATCTCCAGCTTTCTCCCAGTGAAACATTTCCCCTCATAGAAGACAATCTATATTCATAACAACAGTGAGGATTTGAGTATTTCCTCCTAATAAACAGTAAAAATTTTGCTAACTGATATGCAAAAAAATCATCTAAGTTTGGACCGGTCATCAAGATGAATGTGATTGTGATTAACTTTTGTTGTGAAACACTGGCCTAAATCTGTGGCTGCATTCTTGTTGTGGTACTCACCTTTCCTGAGTACTGAGACATTTTCCACTGTTGGCTGTTCCAAATTACTCACACAGTATAGGAGTGGACAAATTTGGACTCCCAGATATATATGGACAGCACAGAGTGTGGCGGTATCGCGAGAGAGAAGCAACAAAAGCACAACAATGGGGGGTTTAGATATT